ACTGCGATTGCGATGCGAATGAGACCGAAGCTGAGGCTGAAACTGAGACTGGGACTTCGACTTCTACTGCGATTGCGATTGCAACGGCGCCTTCTGTCAGTCTCTGTGGGCGTGGCCGGTGGTCGTCACATCCGCTGTTTGCCGGGGTTGGGACTTGTCCACCTCGACTCAACTCCCATCGAATGATCACCGCAACTGAAAACTTTTTCACACACACATTCTCAGCCTTTGCCGCTCGGGCTTTTTCACTTTTCATGCTAAAGCCGGACCGTCGGAAATAGTTAACTTTTATGCGCATTTCAAATCGGAAAGTTTTGCATTCAAACTTTATTAAAATTACGCTCGATGGCCGACCAATTGTGCCTGCCGCCAGCCAACTCCCGTACGAATCCACTACGAACTGTTGGTCGCCATCTTCATGGCCATTGTCGCGGAGGCCCGCAGAGGTTCCTTTTCTTTGTTTCAATGCCGTTTGGAGTTCCGTGGGCATTTTGGAATCAACTAAGAATAGGACACATTGGACAAGTTTTACCCATTCAAATTACGAAGCTGCGTAGTCGGAAATATTATACTTTTATCTATCTCCCATAAACAAAATGAAAATCAGTTTAGGAACAAAATGGTTTGACTTTTTATTAGACGGAGAAAAACGTATTTAAAATATTTACCAATAAACTCTTACATATTTATATAAAAATTTAATCTTTACTTATTTGTACTGTATTTAATTATATTATATATAATTTTTTTGATTATGCAAATTTTTTTTGTTAAATGACTTTTAAAATAGTTCCCACTTCGTTGGAACTATGTATCGTTATAAGCCAGAAAATAATGTAAATGTTTTGTAATCACATATTTTATTAAAATTTTTGATTTAAATAATGCATATAAGCTAAGCCTTTTTTTTGGTTACGGAAGTAATTATGCTATATATTTTCAAAAAATATAAATTAATAAATTAGTTAATGTGTCTGAGACTGCGTTTGTGGTTCCATCCTAGACCCTTTTAGTTTTCGTAATTATCTTACTGCAAATGGAAGTGCATTCCATCGTTCCCCATTTGGTAGTGAAATTCGAGAGTTTTTCCCCGCTGCACATTTGCATTGTTGTTTTGACTGCTGGCGCGTTTTTGTGGCCATTCCGGAGCCCCAGCCCCGTCCCCGGCCCCTTCCCTCCCCTTTTCCCGAACCGCCCCTGGTCCACAGTGCCCGCACTAATGACCGACATTGCTTCCTAATTACAAAAGTTTTGCATGCACTCGCTGCAAAAGAGTGGAGGGCCGAATTGCTCGCCGAAAATGGCTAACAAAAAAACTTTAAGTTTATTTTATTTCCTTTATTTAATGTTGGAGCGCTTAAAGTTGAGCTTTTCATTTTGGCTTTTAGTGGCCTTAACTAACGACTCCATTAACCCAAGGCGGCCGCAATACACATGTTTGGAGTGTAAGCCAAAAAAAAAAATAGTGTTTTGTTCAGGCCGTGGACGATGAGCCCGGGAGCTCAGTTCATTTCAGTTGCACATATGTCATGTGACACATGCTGACCCGGGAACTGTTACGATCCTGAATCCTGAGTCTGAGCCAGGGTCCACTCTTTCTGGCCATGGGCCGCACTTAATGATAAACAATGCTTGCGGTCAGTTTAACATGCCACGCTATTACCCTGCCACTCAGCCAGCCTTCGTCCTTCGTTCTCCGTCCTTCGCCGCCCACTGCCACCCCCTTGTGGTGGCAGGGCCACCGCCCATTCCCATCCCGCTTCCGCATAACGAGTGGACAATTTACACGCTGAAACTGAAACTGAACGACAGCGGACATTGACGTCGGTGGGAGGACTAATTGATACCTCGGCTCTTTGGGGAATCGACCTATTGACCTGCAACTGATTGGATCTAAAATTCAGCTACGGACAGGGGAATGTTTACTGATTGATTTAATGCTTTGTTTTCAAACAAGGTGTGTACGATATGTAAGAAAATTGGTCAACTAGACTGAAATTATTTAGTAATAGCAATTATATTCACTTTGCAACTAATCTAAAAATCGGGGGAGTTTTTAATGTTTAATGCTTTGTTTTCAAAGAAGGTGTGTACAATAGTATCAAAATGAGTCTTTAATTATTGAAATTGATCTCGACGGCTTGAAAACTGAAGTACAAACAAAGACTTTATATAATCAAGTTGTGAAATATGACTTATACTTTAAGGGCCAACACTTGTTTGTAGACACGTCTTAATAAAATAAAACTAATTTGTTTTTATATGTGTGTGACTATTTAATTGATGTTGATTTTTATAAATATTATTATTAGTTTTTACTTATTCAATTTACAAAGTTTGAGTGTGTGTAGAAATTAATTTGTGATTAAAAAGTAGGAACTACTTGCAACAGCTATTTTAAAATACAATTGTGTGCCATTATATTAAGTCCGCACAACTGGCAACTAAGTCCAGGATTCCCCAACAGTTTCACAGCAAGGATAACTAGCAAAGCAAGGATAAGAAGAAGCGACAAAAACAGCATGCTTAAAAGAGCAGTAAATGAGAATTTATCCACTTGCTGACCAACGAGACGCCCGTATTCCCTATTCCCATTCCCGGCCCCCCCTGCCACGCCCCCCACTCGCAGACAGAGACACAAAAAGAAGGGGCGGAGATATAGGGGGTGTATAACTGGCCGACACACGCACATCGTAAAGTTTTAATCGGATGTTGTCCAGCTTTACATGACGCCATCTACTGGCTTAGAGTGCAATATCCTGTGGCACGCGATAACATCGAGCAAAAGAGTTGGGTGGCGGTGGCAGAAACGGCGGACAAAGGACAACGAGGGGCGTGGCTGGAGTGCGAGATAGCCACCCACCCACCCAGCCACCGCCACCCTTGTTTATGCGAAACGCCCGGTCGAAACGCTTCTGGCCCTTTGCTTTTTGACGGCATTTGGCACTGCCACTGCCACGCACAACAACTGCAAGGATTCGCAAGGATTCGCCAGGATGCCCGGCTTGAGAGCCGGGGCCCAGCAATTCCATCTATGGGCTACAAAGCCGGCACTGTTTCAGGCACGACTACAGATACATTTACGGATACAGATGCCAAGGCTAAAGCCAAAGCAACAGCCGCTACAAAGGCTTAAAAAGCGCTCAACACGAAAAAAAGCGAGCGGAACACTGGGATGGAGAAGGACCAAAGGAGGTCCTTTGAAAAGCCGAACTAGTGTTGACTCTACATATTAGTAAAACGATTTTTAAAGAGAATTCTTTTGAAAAAAAATACTTATAAGTTTGTTACAGATTCTAATAAAGGTTTTTCGTTGTCTTTAAATGTCATAGATTTTTACTTAGAAGATCTAAATACATTTATACATTTGTTGAATATTTAAAACAAGCAATGCAAACCAAAAAAAATCTATTTGATAAACATTTATTACTAAATAAAATTAAAAAAGCCAATTCAATATATTTTTAAACGTATCTTTAAGCCGTCAATCACTAAATGTTTTTATTATTATTTAAATAGAACAACTTTTAATTTAATTTCAACATTTATTTCGAATTGATAAAGATTTTAGTTGCTTATATTCGCTTTACATGCTTTTTAGTGAACCTAATTTTACTTACAAATTATTAATATGCCTTGGACAGTCTTGACCTTTCTTGACCAAGTCAAGGACCAGAAATTGTAATTTAAATTGGTTGGAGAAATTCCCCTGACGACTTTTATGATGCATGACTCCACCTCAGCTCAATGGAGAACTTTGACTTTAAGTCAGCAGGCCGGCAAAGCTCATAAACAATACATTGTATCCTTGCCGGGCAAAGTGCATACAAAATGGCAGTGAAATGTGTGTGGCTCTTGTTGTTTTCTGGGCTTCGGTCAGCCGCTTGGCTAGACGCAAGGATGTCCAGGATTGCCAGGATGTGCCACCGAAAGCAACCCACTGAACCGCCAAGCCAACGAACCTCGTTGTCATTGTCGTGACAGGAAATTAAGATGAATGTGGCGAGCAAACTGCAGTTTCTACGCCGGGGCGTCCAGTTCCTCGCCGCTCAATGTCCTTTATAGTGCACTAGAATTTCGCCCGCTGTTGTGGCCCTGCGCCACTGCCTTATTGTCGTTTTTCTATTCGGTTAGAGACAGACAAGGGAGACACAGACAGACAGACGGCTGCCGCTGCCTCTTAAAATATTCATAACGCAAACTGTTGCCACTATCTCCACTCCGTTCAGACCGCAGCGGATGCAGGCGGACCGGGACAAATGGCTTCGCTGGGAGTAATCCGGGAAAGCTGCTGGCAAGAGCGTGTGAAAGTTACGCGTTTGAATTAATTGATTTTTATGAATTTGTTAAGTGAGCTTTTCATGCACCGCCAGCCATCCAGTTGGGGAGTTCATGACTGCGAAAATATTGTCGTTCCAGAGAGTGCAAAAATATGTCACAAATTAACATTTTTTCATGCATGCTTAGTTACATGATATGGTTATTTATTCCTCTCCATTTTCCGTGCCATTTTTTCAAACTACTCGACCAAGTAAATGCTGCTTGAAATATTAAAAACAATTATGTTCAATCAATGTTTAATGGTAATTAAACCTATGTAAATAAATAATAATTTGATTCGTAAAAATTAAAAGAAGAAACAAATATAACAAATATTGTTAAGGTACTGTATATATACAATAATTTTAAATATTTTCCTTGTAATGATGTAATTACCTGCGATTAATAACCCCAAATAAAAGCCAATGTGGTCCTTTAAAAGTTGTCTCAATTATTTGAGGACAAGCCATTACATCGTAAATGAGGCAATATTAATGTAAAACTTTCAAATGTTTCCGTTTGGCTTGGGTCTGGAGGATAATAACTTAATTGAGCCATTGCACGCATGGGAGAGTTCATTTAAAAGTTGAGAAACTGTCATCGTCTGTGCTGCCAACTAATCCCTGGTGAATATATAAGTCGGAGGAGAGTGGACATTGTTCAACAGTCTTGACTCCATAATGGTTCGTTACGTGCCCCGTTTGGCTGATGGTCAGAAAGTGAAGTTGGCTTGGCCTCTGGCTCTGTTTCGATTGAATCATATATTCTGGCCCTTGGATCCGAGCACGGAAAAATGGGCTAGATATCTAGATAAAATCCTGGCTGTTCTGGGGTGCTTAATCTTTATGCAGCACAACGATGCGGAATTGAGGTATCTGCGATGCGAGGCTGGTAATCGGAATATGGACGCTTTCCTGACTGGCATGCCAACGTACTTAATACTGGTGGAAGCCCAATTCAGGAGTCTTCATATTCTGCTTCATTTCGAGGAGCTGCAGAAGTTTCTTCAGGTGTTCTACGCCAATATTTATATTGATCCGCGAAAGGAACCGGAAATGTTTCGAAGGGTTGATGGAAAAATGCTGATAAATCGATGTGTTTCCGCCATGTATGGAGCAGTTATCTCCGGCTACCTAATATCTCCCGTATTTTCCCTCATTAACAAGAGAAAGGATTTTCTGTACTCCATGATATTTCCATTTAACTCGGATCCTTTGCATATTTTTGTGCCACTCCTTTTGAGTAATGTATGGGTTGGCATCATCATTGATTCCATGATGTTCGGCGAAACAAGTTTGCTGTGTGAATTAATAGTGCATCTGAATGGTAGTTATCTGCTGCTCAAAAGGGACTTGGAGTTGGCCATTGAAAAGATTTTGGCTGCCAGGGAACGTCCGTTTATGGCCAAACAGCTGAAAGAACTTATTATTAAAACTTTAAGGAAAAATGTGGCTCTTAATAAGTTTGGCCAGCAGCTGGAGGCTCAGTATACGTTGAGGGTTTTTATAATGTTCGCTTTTGCTGCTGGTCTCCTATGTGCTCTGTCTTTCAAGGCTTACACGGTGAGTGGTATACACAAATTTTCTAAAATTAATATATAATTTAAGACATTTTATTATATTATTCTTAAATTTATTTAATATTATTTGTTCTTCAACAGAATCCCATGGCTAACTACATCTATGCCATTTGGTTTGGAGCTAAAACTGTGGAGCTGCTTTCACTAGGAAAGATTGGTACCGACTTGGCCTATACTGTAGGTAAAGATATATATATATATCATACGTTTAATTTTTTTTTGTCCTCAACACAGACGGATTCCCTGAGTTCAATGTACTACCTAACCCACTGGGAGAAAATCCTAGAGCACTCTACGGATCCCAAAGAAAATCTGCGACTTTTCAAACTTATTAACTTGGCCATTGAGATGAATAGCAAACCCTTTTATGTGACGGGACTTAAATACTTTCGCGTTAGTCTGCAGACTGGTTTAAAAGTAAGCTCCATATTCGAAGTGAATCCAAAATCATTCGTTTATCAGCTCTTTCACAGATTCTGCAGGCAGCCTTCTCGTACTTCACATTTCTCACCTCGATGCAGCGTCGGCAAATGAGCAATTAAATAATTCACTTTTTTTAATGCCGCATTGCTACCTCCTTCTGTGACTCTAGTCCGCTGATACAAATGATTGCATATTAAAAGTCAATTATTGGTGAATTAATTTTAATTAAATTAAATTGATAAAAGGCGCTGGCTGGTTGGCTCGCACGCATCATTGACTTTCGCTTCTTTTGCTCTTTTTCCTCGTATGTATGTGTGAGAATATAATGTGTGTGTGTGTGGGCGCCTGAAAATATGCAATAAAATATTCATGATCTCTGTGCAGCAAAAACTTGCAAAAACTTAATAAAACTTTTGCCTCTGCTGGTGGGTAATGAAATTAGAATATCGCAAGCATACCAAACGCACAGAGCCAGAAAAAAATATAAATTTTCAGCTTTCCATGTTTTGCCATCTCTGGAAATGATCAGCGGCCATTAAGCCGCCGGTTTTGGATGCCGTCTAAGGCGCAAGCCATAAATCTTCAACTTCGGAAAAGGCTCTTCCCCCCCTGTCCCCTGCCCCTGCCCCTGTATCCACCCACTATGTTTCAATTTCCTCTGGCACGAACATTTTGGTAAATTAATCCATTAAAGTTTCGCCATGAAAATGCACAAAAGTTTTCGCATAAAAAGCCCATGCATCTCGCTCGCTCCGCTTGTGCAGGGCTTAGGCTGTCCCTGTCTACCGCCCATAACTCCCTCATAAGAGGAAGTCGAAGTTCGACAGGCGTCGCGCTCATTGATAATTAGACCCTGTCGACGTCTCCATCGTCGTCGATTTCAGGCTTCGACCCGCCCCATTAGCCAATTTGTACTTCATTAGCGCCATGTTGTTCGACTGGGCTTGTGAGCTAGGAATTGCCGAGATTGCCTTGTTTGACGACTAATGAGTTTTATTTACACTGACCAACGGTGGAGAATGGGTTGGTTTTGCCCTCACAGTTGGACATTGCAAATGTAAGGATTTGTACTCGATCGATAAACTTACTTTCCAGTGACCTTTTTTTAGTTTTTAAATTCTTGTTTAAATTCATCGACAGTTCAAAAAAATAAGAGCACTTTAATCTTAAAACCAATATGGTTTAAAAATGTATAAAAATTCAGCATCTGTTTGTTTAAGTCAAATAAAAATTCTTCTACATTTATAGGAATTTTTAAATTTTTATTCCACACGTGTTCGTGTTGATTTTTCAAATTCAATTTGAATAGTTTTTTTCCGGTATCGCAAGCGTTCGTGTTTGAAATAATAAAATGCAAAACAAAGCGAAAACGAGAATTTCCCACTGGGGTTCGAATACGGGTTGTGTGATATCTTAATATGCATTGACTGCAAGTCGCAATAATAGCGCTTAATTAGAACCGACAGTCTGGGAAAAACGAGGACTTGGGGGGGAAAAGGCCATCGCTATTGCACTCTCTGCACAATCCCTTATCGTTCCCACTGGCTTTGCTGAACTTTGGTGCTAACCACTGAAAATTTTATATTTATGCTCGTGTTGCCAACTGAAGCTGAAGGCAAATGCACAAACATATAGAGGGGCTAAAGTAAATGTAGGGAAAGTTTTTAGCTTGTAATTATCATTAGCGATATTGTGTCTAAACTTTTCAAGCCGCGCATGGAGCAACAGCATGCGAATAAAGTAGAAAAGTGATTTTCCCAGTTTTGCAGGGGTTCAACTTTGATTCGAAGGCCTTAAATCAATTACAGTGAAAGAGAAGAAACTTGTTAATTGCGAGATAAAGCAGCAAGGATTCTCTTTTAATTCAGTACCTGTCATGCAATACTTTCTCAACAGGCAACACGTCGTATGCTTAATTAATTTTAAATGCACTTTAAAAGTTTGCCCCCTCGAGAAAAGTCGCTTTGGGAAAATAGGTGGCAGTAAGGTATTTTCACCTTTAAATCAACTTTTCCCGTGGCCCCGTTAAAAGTAAAAACAACCTAGAAAAGGCCTCGTAGAAAGCCCATTCATGTGTGACTGCATTTGTCAGTCTCGGGCTCAGAATCAGAATCAGAATCAGGCTCCGAGTCCTGGCATTCGCATTCTTTTGGCCAGGTCCTGTAAGTTGTGTGTGTAATTATGTCTGAGATTATGCCCACAGCCACGGCGGTGCTCCTACTACAGCTGTCTGTCTTTAATATGCCACCGCAGCCCCCACCAACCCCGCATTTTATTCCGCCTTATTTCTCATTAGCGCTGCCGTCTGTGGATTTTAAGAAGTGGCTAATTCAAATTATAATAAAAAAAGTAGGGTGATTTGCTAAAATAGCTAGTTTCAGGTTAAACTTACATTTAAATGCTTATTCTATTGTGGCTCAATAATAGATAACTTTTATGTATTTAGTTTTTTACTTTTCTATGTTCCAATACAATGTTTACAACATGTTTGTTTATATACGAATTTATTTAACTTTAATATCTTTCAAAATATTTTTAGCTAATTTTCCATCTAAAAGTATTTTGACTTGGCTAGGAATACGTTAGCTTGGCAGAACTATTACTTAGCTTTTCTCATCCTGTCGACAGCGTCAAAAGTTTCTGTGGTCTGCCAACTCATCTTCCCTTAGCACCGCTGATGTGTTGGCATTTGCTTTTGCTTTTACTCGCTGCCTGCTTTAAGTGAAGGTCTTGAGATATTTTTCAGGGCTTGCCTTCGCCACGTTGTTCATATGCAGTTCCTATGCTGCACTGGCAGAAAACCGGAATTTTCTTGGTAATTATTATAATTATACCTAAGAACCTAGCGTAGCTTAAAAAAGATAAGAAAGAAAAGTTTGCAGAGTATTATATTTATAAAAATTGTTTCTAATATTTTAACTAAGCAAATGCTTTTGCTTTTGATTTATATGTAAATGTCGGCTTTTCTATAAGATTTAAATATGTATGTATATGTAAGTGTGCTTAAAAGTCTGTTATATAAATATAATACATGATAAAAACAATGTTAAATTCAATAGAATTAGCCTAAAGGTTAAAAGTTCAGATAGCAGGAACTGCATTAGGTAAACATTAAAGCAAATGTTGGCCATTAAATACCGGCAGCCTTAATTGCAGTGTACTCTGCTTAAGTATTCTCATTTCCCTTTAGTTGCCGCTGCTGCTGGTGGGTTTTTGGCTTTTGCCTTGGCTCGTAAAGTCGCAGGAAGTTATTATCCTAAAAACTTTACCCCTGAGGGCAATACAAACAAAGGCGTAGCAGGGCAACAAAGCGCAGCATTCATGTCTGACTATGAAATGGCTATGGCTGCACTCGCCCGCCCACTGAACCACCCCCTCAACCCTCCCCCCAGCCACCCACACATGCGTCTCGTTTGCTATGCATGAAAATAGAATGTCATAAAATTAGAACGATCATAAGAAAGGCGAGAGAGGCTAACACACAACACACAAAGAGCTCGGGGAAAGAAAAGAAAGCGAAAAGAAAGCGGACTCCCGCCAGCTGACTTTTTTACTGCTCTTGGCGAAAAGTTGATGGCCAGGCGTCCTAGTGGCCGCCTTAACCCATTAAATTCTCTTTATTATGCCAGTAATATTTTCTCAAAATAAAATGAAGGAAATTTTCAAGACATTATGACTTGAGAGCGTGATAATCGCGTTGGAAAGCTGGGCGAGGACGAAATTTTATAAAAAACAGATTTAATTGAGTTGGGGGCTGCAGGGCAGTGGTTTTTAGATAAGTAGCCTTACTGTCCGCCACTGTAGCTTTTTAGTCAGACAATGATCACAAGTTTATTTTTCTTGATTGTTTCCTTAGCTTCAGAATAATGATATACAGGTAATTTGGTTTGTATTTCTTGAAAAATAAAAATAAAATAAAGTGATATAATTTTTTACTTAAGAAGCATAAAAATTGTTGATTAACATTTTGCACTTTTAGAGTTGAGTCGTTAAACTCTTCACTTAACGGGCAGCACATATATTTCTTCAAGTCCAACGTCATCTTGAATTTAAACACTAAGCTTAAAATTTACTTTAGAGTAAGTATACATTCTAAATGCCTTGGCGGCAAAGCAACCCACTTAAAAAGCTGATAAAACCAGCAGCAACACAAGAGCTAAGCCACCTATTCCATACTGGGTGACGTTAGCCCATCTTTAGTTGCAACTAAAAAAGCAAATGCACTGCTTGCATAAATTAAATGTTTACGACTTCCGTTTTGTGGGCAGGTAGCTCTGGAGAAGCTTTGGCTTTAGTACAATTTGTGCCATTAAAAAACCAAATATATGTATATGCGAGTCCTTGTGTGAGCGAGATGGAGAGGGCCAAGAATACGCAGATAGTTGGTCCTGGGATTATACGGAAGGACTTCTCCGGTTTGGCTGTAGGTGCGGGCTGCTCGGTCGCCTGGTTAGTTGCCTGGCGCGCTAATTTTTAATTACGACCACTAAATATTCAATTTTTAGTTGCCAGCAAAGGCAAACACTTCCTGTACACTGGCCGGGGCTTTTTGTTTTGCAGATTAACCGGGTCTGTGTGTGTCGGGTTTTGAGGATTTTTCGGTGGGGGAGACTCTAGCTTCCTGTCAAGTGCAACAGCTCGTTAGAATTGCAAATGTTGCGATTACTTTGAGAGAGGATGTAGTCTGGCTATGTATGAGAAATTAACGCAATTGCAAAGGATTCCCATGTTCAAAGTACAATTCATGTAGCTTAAAATACCAAAATTTAATCAACAACTTCTCATTGAAAATCTATTACGTATATTTTTGTATTTAATAGACAATGATCTATCAGCCTCTGAGATTAAGTTTATGTAATTATAAAATCAGCAATACATTCTTTTTAGTGCTTCTACATCCTTTGGACTAAGTATTGTGGTTTGGCCAATTTTTGCATCTGCCTTTAAGGGAACAATAGTTGGTTTGCCGTTTTTGGAGAATGCAAAAGGACCATAGTGCATGATACTGTCGTAGTCATAGCCCAAGCCGAAATTAGTCACTCCATTGGCCCGAAGCTTCTTGAAATTGTGTTCATGGCCTGACCTAATGTTTTCCGTATGTATCTGGACATAATTATCCCTTTGTGGATCGCTTTGGGTGTGATAAAATCCCAGGGCGTGAAGTAGCTCATGCTGGATGGTTCTACTCGACATACAGCCCCTGGCCAGATTGAGACCCTGGTTTGTTCGACCCAAATATCCCACATAGGACGAGCAACCAGAACCCTGCCTTTGAATTATAACCTGTGGCTCTCGAGGGTTTTCTGTACGGCGAAATCTAACACAGGTCTGAGATGATATTTCTGCCATGGCGCTTTCAACTCGAGCCTTGTCCGAAGAAGCTGTCATCCGTCAAATCAAAAAAGTTACTCCTTGTGAAATATTTTTAAGTATTCTTTACTTACACAATCCACCACCAAAACTGTAGACCAAAGTGCTCTGCTTCCAGTAATACTGTGTCCACGATTTAACAATACGACTTGCTTGGTTTCCTTCAAAAAATTCCAGCTGCTCTGGAATAAGTACGATATCATCCTCCGGAATTTCAGTGAAAGGAAGACCGTGGGCCAAGGACCCAATGGTGCAAACCAAAGCGAGTACATGGAAAATCATTTCGGAACTGATATCAAATTATCCAGTGCAAGCGGTTTTTATTCGTTTTCAGCACATATGTATATATAAAGGAAATTTCTCTAGATTAATTGACAAACGTGCGACGTTACCAAATTTATTGGCCTAGGTTAACAACTGTTTATATTTGCAAGAGACATTGAGCTATAAAACTAAATGTGTAACGGGCATAAAGTGATTGTTCTCTAACTATGTATATATTCCAGCCTGAAGGCCATTAAACTTTATTTAACAATGCAGCCCTTTAGACATATAATTTTTCTCGGAACCAGTAAAAGTATCTCATTCCATTGTAAGATAACAACTAGCCTATAAAGTAAAAATAAAAAGAAATCATATACAAACTATATTTAACGACCAAATTCTTAGCCCTAGTATCCATAACCAAAATCTTCGATTAGGGTTTTATTTAATATCTAACAGCGATTAGATGCTTAAATATGCTACTCACCACTAGCAAGTTTTTTAACTTAACAACTTAACAATTAGCCCAAATAAGAACCATTAGAAAGCTACCGATCTTTTATACTAGTCAAACGATAAGATATCGCTTTAAATCGGCACTACTAATTTAGAAATCGTAAATTCAAAAGATTAACTTTTATAGCGAATTTGTTCACCGCTCGTGTATTAAAACGGCTAGACAGTATTGAATGGAGCGTTTAACTACAAACATGTATTATTACACTATATTATCTGTGATTTTGGTTCTGATCAGCGGCGGTTGTGCAGCCCCAGCTGAGCGGATTGAAACAGATCCGGAGCTAACAGCTGGATATGTCGAGGGTGATATGGTACCCAGTGGATCGTTGAGGAATATTTGGCGCAACGAGACCTATCGCTGGCCAAACAGAATTGTTTACTACCACATCAATAGCTATATAGGTGTTTACTAACGCATTCCCTAAAAAAAAAAAAATTAATTAATAATATATATTTAAACAACAGATGAGGAGCATCGGAACCATATTGTTAGCGCCATCCACAAAATCGAATCTATTTCCTGCCTGACCTTCAAAGAGGCCACCACCGATCAAAAGTATTTTGTAAATGTGACCTCGGAGGAGGGTGGATGTTTCTCCTACATCGGCTACCTGAACCGAGTTCAACAATTAAATCTGCAAAACAATGAGATAGGAGTCGGATGCTTCAGACTCTATACGATTGTTCACGAGTTTCTGCACGCCCTTGGATTTTTCCATCAGCAGAGTGCCGCCGATCGGGATGATTTTGTCCAAATTGTTGAGGAAAATATAACCGAAGGCATGGAGTTCAATTTCGATAAATACACCGAGGAAAGAGTCAACGATTTTGGCCAGAAATATGACTATGGCAGCGTTATGCATTACGGTCCTTATGCATTTTCCAAAAACGGCGAAAGAACTATTGTGGCCTTGGAGGAAGGCAAAGAAGATGTCATCGGCCAACGACTGGAGCTGAGTGAAACAGATATCAAAAAGCTAAACGCCATGTATAAATGCCCTACTGTTTAGGAATACATTTTTTTTATCGCACCGCCATTCACAATTTTCTTCCGGCTTTGGCAACGTAATGATGATAAATTTCGTTTTTTTATTTCTCGCGAACAATATAATCTGTTTATTGTGTTGACAAATGCAATTAGGCGGATGTTCGCCGCTGTCATTTGCTTTCAGATTAATTTTGACACTGATTCCTTTTTTTTTTTTGGGGTCGGAAGCTTTTGTAATTTTGATTGTTGCAAAATAAGGTGACGAAATGGATAAGGTCATGGTCGGTTGGGCTTTGTTATGCTGGCATCGAAGGGAAAGGAGAAAGTCTGAGGGGGAAATAAGTATGTTGCTAAAATAATTCCAAGTAAAGGAAGATAAATTAAGGCCTATATGGGTCCATTCCATTGCTTGAACTAAATAAAAGAATTTATATAAATATGTTTTTAATTTGGTTTTAATTGTATCAAATAACTTAAATACCCTTTTTGATGGCAAACTTAATTATTATTGTGTTATTGTGTTTTACCAAAAAACAAAATAATTGCCCCATTAACCTAACTTTAAACGTATAACTTATCGCAAAAGCAGGGAAATTCCTGAAATGCTTTTAGAAACTACCCTGAATTAAGATTATACGAGCGTATGTTATGCAGGTAACCTGTATCGATTAGATAACATCTTGGCGGTGACCATTGGTCAAATAAGCTGGCCATAAATTATTAACTATGGCCACTATACCATAAATTATCCATTGCAAAAGTAGTCCGCTTTGTTGCCTTACAATTAGATCCGCAAACAGTAAGTTGCCGAACGTGGAGCCATCAGCATGAAGACCTGTGCCTTGATATTGGTGATTCCCCTCCTGGCCAGTGGCTGCCTGGCTGCTCCTGCTACCCAGCAGAGGACTGAAACCGATCCTGAGCTGACTGCTGGCTATTTTGAGGGGGACATCGTGCTTGGTCCCGACGGAAGGAATGGAATGCGTAACGAGTCTTTCAGATGGCCCGATCGCACTGTGTACTACTATATAAATTCGGACATAGGTAGGTTGTTTTAAAAACAAATTACAAACCATTTCTGAAACTTATCTTCAATTTTGCTCTAGATACCGAACACCGCAATCACATAATTCGTGGTATTCGTATCATTGAACGCAGTTCTTGTATTGTGTTCAAGGAGGCCACCTCTGATCAGGATTACTTTATCAATGTCACATCCTTTTCGGGCGGCTGTTTCTCCTATGTGGGCTTCCGCAATAGGTCCCAACAGTTAAATCTGCAGAATTATGCTCTGGACACGGGTTGTTTCCGGCTGGGAACAATTGTCCACGAGTTCCTGCACGCTCTGGGCTTCTATCACCAGCAAAGCACGTGGAACCGTGACGAGTACGTCCGAATTGCCGAGGAGAACATTACAGAGGGAACCGAGGGCAACTTCAACAAGTATGACAGCGAAACCGTCGAGGACTACGGAGAACCCTACGATTACTCCAGTGTGCTGCACTACAGGGCGTATGCGTTCTCTAAAAACGGAGAAATGACCATTGTGCCGCTGCAGGAAGGAGCCGAAGAGCTTATGGGACAACGTTTGCAAATGACCCAATCGGATATTAACAAACTAAATGTCATGTACAAGTGCCCCAGGCAGGTGTAATACGAAGTAAAAGTCATTAAATACCAATTATTATTAGCTAGAGCTAACTATTATTCATTATTTGATCCTATAAAAATAACCATTAAAAATATCGATGTCATAATTGTCAAATGTTTTCTATAACTTTTTTATATATAACTTTTTTATATATAGAAATGTAGATATTGTAGTCTCAGCAATTGGACAAGTATCTAAAAGAAGTTGCATTAGAGATCATTTAACTTAAAGTAGGCTATACTTCTTGTTGTCCCTTCAATAGTATGCTTTTGGGCATTGATTAAAATTGAAAACAACATACTCAGAAGGGTCAACAACCATAGTATAACTAATTGTGGAAAATGAAGCCTTACCAATCAATTTCATATGCCTAATACAATGGTAAATACCAATATTAAACTATTTAACTTTTAGGCTTGTTTCGTTAAATATATAAGATATAACGACTTTCACGATTAACCGTTCAGTAAGGTTTTAGTCTAGACAATGTTTGCACTGACACTGGCTCTAATTGTATTTCTCGCCAGAGAAGGTTTTAATGAACCGGCGCAGGATCCGGAATTGCTTGAGCAGTATTTTGAAGGAGACATCTCAGTTCGACCGATTCAGTTCCGAAACGGTATTGCCAATAAGATTCTTCACTGGCCAAACGGGGTAGTCAAATACCGTATAGAGCAAAATGACTTTGGTATGTATGCAAACAAAGATAAAACCACACTGTTCTGATCTGAAAATCGAAGACGACATTCATTATAAGGAAATTCTGAGGGCCATTTCCATCATTGAGGCAAACTCGTGTGTTGTCTTCAGGATTGCCAGCCAAGAAGAGTTACCCCAAGCCCTTATAATTACGTCTAAAGGCGTCGGCTGTAATTGTGCTTATTTGGGCTTCAGGAATAGGACGCATCAAGTGAACCTCCAGAATTTTCCTCTTGGCAAAGGTTGCTTTCGCATCGGTTCCATACTCCACGAGTTTCTGCATGTATTGGGCTTCGAGCATCAGCATGTCTCCCGAAATCGAGACCAGTACGTCAGCATCAAATGGGATAATATCAATCCGGAATTCAAAATTAATTTCGTTAACACCGACAATACTACCGATTGGCATGACTTCGGCGAGGGCTACGACTATCAAAGTGTTATGCACTATGTTCCCAAGGCGTTTTCCAAAAACGGTAAACCAACAATTGTGGCCTTAAAGGAAGGCTCCTCCAATATGGGTCAGCGATTCAACATGAGCGTCAAGGATATTCGCAAGCTTAACAAAATGTACAACTGTCCCGGCTATGTTTAACATTGAAATACGTTTTTTTAATTAAAACACTATATTTTTTCACACTTCATTTCCCTGTGAAATAAAACTCTGTTCGTGAAATAAAATATTTAAAAACGTATCTTTTAAACTAAAACTAAGTGATCTTGCTAGTTTTGAAGCAGATACCTTGGAGTATTATACAAATGATTTCAATTTGTTTTCTTTTAAGGTATTTGTTTAGGAAAAAATTGTATGTTTGTTATAGTTTTAGATAAGCGAAAACTATTGTTCCAATTAACTAAAATATTTGAGAACCCATTTAACATCGGAGGAATGGTAAATTATCTTCTATCAACTTTTAAGTTCAGTTGTTTGTATAAGCCTGGGATAAAATTAATAAGACTTTCTATTTTTTTTACTATTTTAAATTTTTAAAAAAAAAAAAAATGCTAAGAAAAATATATATTAATCAATCTTAAGGACCATAATTAATACGAAGCGTTCTGTATATTGAAAACTATTTTCATCATGACTACTGCTCTGGCTTACTTCGTATAATAGCTATATATAGTGCCTTGAATGGGCTATCACGTAGTCCATAGTTTTTTATAATAAAAGATAACACTGCGATAGGACCCTGATTTCGAACACCCAATAGACAACCCAACGAACACTTGTATTTAGCGCAACGATTACGCGTGTCGCGGTTGTTGGGCAGTTATCGGTAATCAATTGACGATTTTGGAGGAATTACTCATATTTGGGAAGCAGCGGTTTTAATTACATATTTGTTTTTGGTATTTTGGTGGGCACTTGAGAATTTAATCACAGCTGCACTGAAATTTCTACAGGTTTCTACATATAATTCGCTATCACTAACAGTTAACGAGGACAATCCTAGAGTCAAAACATGACGTATGCTAGATATAAACTCAGAAAGCTAGATTCATTGAATTAAGGAAAACATGGCCTAATTTTAGGAATAATTGCCTTAAAATTGTGCTTTTCAAACAACATTAGGGAGAATATGACCTAAAACTAAGTTAAAGGCCATAATAGCCTTGGGTGTCGTTTTAGGTATTATTTTCCCAAATTCTGCATGGAAGCTAAAATTTAAGGCAATTATTCCCAAAATAAAGGTAATTTTTCCCAAATTTAGGACATGTTTTCCTTAATTCAAGGAATCTAGTTTTCTGAGCGTATGTATCGTAAACTTACATGACTGATGGAAGGTTTTTACCTGGGCGCCTCTGCCAAAGGTGACATGCCATAAACCTTGATCTAATTGCCCGTTCCGATTGTCATTATCAATTTGCGAAATAAGTTTTTGCCCGCTTGTATCTAATCTGAGTTGTATGACCAGCCTTCCAGCGAGAGTTTTATATTTAGGTGGCCGTGTTCCGTGGCCAGTGAACTAGTCCAGTGCGAGAAACCCAACTGGCAAGATGTCGCGGCTTGGAATAATAAACCTTCTGTTGCTGTTGCAAGTGGTGCTGAATTCTGGCAAACCGCTGCCTGCAGGTGTCTACGATCCGGAGGAGGCGGCTGGCTTTGTGGAGGGCGACATGATGCTGACGGAGGAGCAGCAGAGGAGTCTGGAGCAAGGTCCCAGGGCTCGCAATGGCCTTATCAACACCGAAAAGAGATGGCCCAACAATGTGGTGGTCTACAAGATATCCGATGACTTTGATGCGGCGCACAAGAGAGCCATTCAGACCGGCATCGACACCTTGGAGTCGAACACCTGTGTGAGGTTTAGGGAAGCCACCGACACGGATACGGCCTATCTTACTGTTACAGCCAAGTCCGGAGGTTGCTACACCGCAGTGGGCTACCAGGGATCGCAACAGGAAATGAACCTGGAGGTCTTCCCCTTGGGTGAGGGATGCTTCCGGCCGGGAACCATCCTACACGAGTTCATGCACGCCCTGGGATTCTATCATGAGCAGAGCTCGGCCCTCCGTGATGGTTATGTAAACGTGATCTACGACAATATAGTGCCCGGCAAGGAATTTAATTTCCAGAAATACGCCGACACTGTAGTGACCGATTTCGAAGTGGGCTACGACTACGACAGCTGCCTGCACTATCGACCGGGAGCCTTTTCCATCAACGGTGAGGACACCATAGTGCCCCTGGATGCCAGCGCTCAGATTGGTCAGCGTGTTGGCCTTAGCTCCAAGGACATCGATAAGATCAACATTATGTACAAGTGCCCGATTCTGCTGTGATCCATAATCGGTCGGACTATGTACCTATTCAATTGTGATATATATATACGTATATGTATATTTTTCAGCCACCGAATGAAGCGATTAGATCGGTTTTATTGATCTACGCTGTCATTGTCAGTGCGGTCTGTACTATTTATAATGAAGCGTAAATTAAAGCTATATTCCTTTATGACATCGTCTCTGATAACTTCGTATCGGTAGACTACAAAATCGAGGGCGGCGGTAAGAACTATCAGTGTTTCAGCCTTCCACATCGCAGAAATTCAGCCACAAACCACAATTCCATGGGCCATGTGTCGGGGTCTAGTAATTGCGTGCTGCTAATGCGATTTATATGCGAGATGCAAATGTTTGGGGAGCATCTGGGCCCAGGGAACCCAAGGAGGCCAGCACCTAGGAGTGCCAGGACCCCGGCACAGGCACAGTCACAGGCACTCAATTCTCACATTTTGACAGCGCTTGTTAGACCATAAATTCGATTCTCGTTCGTTTCAGCGACACGGCTTGCCCTCCGCCGTGCCTCCCCTTACCCCGAATATCCTGGAAAATGTCTTTCCTTGCGCATTGTTTCATCCGAAATTAAGAAAGGACCTCTGGAGCGGTATACGAGCATGTTTGGCGAAAATTACCATACACCAAGGAGCAGCGACAAATTCTACAATGCCATTTCACATGGCAAAATGAGATTGCACAGGGCTGAAAATGGGTGATCTATTCCATTTTAGGGCAGCTGGTGCTAAAACTTATATTCCTCTTGATTCTCTCTGTTTTTTAATACTTTCTTTAGGAATACAACGTATTTGTAGTTCGACATAAACTGTATAAAATTTTGTTAAGCTATGTTATGAAATACATAGAAATATCCATGATTAGCATTTTTGTAATTAGCTATTCACTGATGATAACAAAATGAATAATGAGCTTATGGCTATTATCAAGTGTCGACCATAAATACGAACGGTTTCAATTTCAATTGGCGATTAAAAGCTATTAAGATTATGTTTAGGCCGTCGATAGGTCATAAAAAGAAATTTCCTACAGCAAGATTGTATAAAAGAACACAAGTATTAGTACGCCTAAGTAACAATGGCGCTCTTTGTAAAATCATTCAGGAAGTTCGTTTTTTGAATTATTTTTTTATCTCGGGGATGAGGCAATTTTTCGAGTATGAAAACCCCAGCTGCATTATTTCTTATCAGTGGATTTTTGTTGTTACTGCCAGCATTATCAGTAGTAAGACCTAATGAAAAAATATTTACAGGCGGTAATTACTTTGATCAACAACTTAAGGAAGTTTACACTGAATGCGTTAAAAAAAGACACATGTCATTCATATATTTTACAACTATTACTTAATCGTTTTTTGGTAGCATGACATTCAATAAATACTTAAAATAAATGTTTTAAATAAACAGTTAGGCTTAACAACAAAATTAATTGACATAAATAAAATAAACAAAATGTGCATGCTTGCGTTCATAAAACTATAAGTGAAAGCAACAAAAATTAATCATTTTAAATATTTAATTTTTCAGACATTGGCCAGCTAACACTATCAATACCGAGTTAAGAGTTTATAGAATTTACAGGGGATATACCTTTTTGAACGCTGACTCACCGGCAATACAAATTTCACAAGATTGCCCTAATTGACTTTACCTGGCCGTCTCTCAAAAGTATGCCTTATTGTTATGGCCACCAAGAGCAGACTAATTGCGCTCAGCCCAAAAGTCTAGTCATAAATAAAGCAGCATGTTCTATTGCACTCAATATGCAAATGAGCTGCAAACAATTCCAATTCCGCGGCTACTTCGGGGAATGCACGTTTGCCAATAATAAGTCATGGCGGAAAAAAGGCGTGTCCGCAAACAGAAGCTGAAGCTAAAACCCAAAAACCGAAGCCACATGAAATATGAAACGAATTGTAGCAATTTCCCAAAAGGCGCACAAGCGCATATGTGACTAAGTTCGAAGCGAGGAGATTCTGGCTTCAAGATGGGCCACTGAACTACAGAAGCCGTGTCCTTTGGCCTCTGCGATTTATTGCTGACGAATGCGTATTCAATTTTAAGGCAACGCCAAAATGATTTATACATTTAATTTTATATTTCTCGCCCAGCCGCTTAGCGGAAATGGGAAATCACTTGCAAGGACCTGCATCCTTCTTTCCTCTTCGACTTCCTTTTACGAGCCATGTTTTGGGCACAATTTCTCATCGTTCACATTTATGACTATTACGTCGTAAAAAATTATGATTTAATTTGATTATGATGCTGCAAAGTGTGTGTGGCAAACGTGGCGTATACGCAATATAAATACGCCAAAGGTTGTTGGGTCAACGCATGGTTGACTCGTACTTGCAATTGAGTTTTAAGAGTATCTTAACGTATCACTAAGACTTTCAAAGATGACTTGCAGTTCTGAAGCTGTGAGTTTTAAACCAGTTTTTCCTCTGTCAGCACATTTGAACTTTTAAGTTTAAGCGTTTGGGATGTAGGAAAAACTTGAAATGTTTACTTTTTAAAATAAACGAAATTTAAACAAGAATGAAAGCAAACTTCGGCAAGCCGAAGTTCATATACAAGTATTGCAAGAATTAAACATTTTTGAAAACATTAAAATTATGATTTACTTGAGTATATGTTTAAAAACATTAAAGCTATGATGATTTGCAGCTCAATAATTAGATAATTATTTAATATATTTTTATTATTTCTATGGGAGCTATAAAATCCGATCCGTCCGATTTTGATGAAGTTAAAACCGTTATTCTGGAATATTTAACCATTACTATATGTCAAAGAACTATAGTAATGAAATAATGGTCAAGATGTGGAAAGTCATACACCGTTGAATTCGTAATAAAATTTCCAATCGAATGGCATTCACAGCTAAATTTTTTTCAGATTTTCAAATTTCT